ATAAGTAAAATTTCAACAAGAATTTTTGAAAAATAAAAGGAATATTTAAAAAAGATAATATAACCTTAGTATTTAATCAAACAGCTAAATTGTAAAAGAATATTACAGTTAATAATACTGTAAATAGCATATTTACAGTATTATTAACTTTAATATGTAAAAAACAATGTATTATACAGTTTTGAATGTAATTGCAAACAAATTCACAAACAGAAAAAACAAAAAAAAAGTTAAAAACAAGCTTTAATAAACATATAAAAGATATAAAATATAATAATAGAAACTCAACAGTAGCAAATACTGAAATCACACTAAATCAAGAAAGATTCAATAAAAACAATAAATTATTTATTGTGACATCATCACAATGCCAGGCTGCAAGTTTTAATCATATTTTTACCTTATTTAATTTAAAATATAAGCTCTCCTCCTCAAATTAGTAGTGGCTTGCCTCTATACATCATACTTTTCCATTAGTAATAGAGTCATGATGATCATTTATCTAACATCTTTCAGGGAAAAATTTTTGAATTGAAACAACATGACTTCCGGTGGAAGTTTGGATAGTTACTGGAAGTTTGTATATAGTTAATCGGGTCTCCTGCCATTAGGTTTCCATATCTGGTCTTGTCTTTCATCTATTCTCTGTTCTCGAGATTAACGAAAGAGAGACAGACAAATGGATGACAGTGGGAATTTATAGGTGTACAATTTTTCAAATTGCAGCCCAATAAAAAAGAAACTAATACATATAAATGAAAATGGTTTGAATAACTATAAATTATGAAAATAAAACTAGAAAAAAGAATAAATGATAATATAGTTTTAAATGTATGATTTGTGGTATCCTTTTATCATCAATATGGCAGAACTTCAGTGATGATATGTAAATAAGTATTAAATGAAATGAAAGAAAGAAAAATAACACAAACTTTTGTAGTAATGTTTGGGCCAGACAGTCAACATGGAATAGTGTTACTACCTGAGGGTTACGAAATGCCTAAGAGACAGAATCAGGCAAAAATGGCCTGAACTTTGGAGGAGCAGCGAGTGGTTTTTTCACCATGACAATGCACCGGCTCATTTGTCTTTCAGAACTCATGAGTTTTTGGCCAAAAACAAGACTGCTGTGCTTTCCCACCCACCCTACTCACTTGATCTGGCCCATGCGACTTTTTTCTGTTCTCCAAACTAAAAAACACACTCAAAGAAAAAAGATTTGCCACCATTCCAGAGATAGAAAAAAATAAATGACAGAGGAGCTTATGGGCATTCCGGAAAAAGCATTCCAGGACTGTTTCAAAAAGTTGAAACACCATTGGGATAAGTGTATATGTTGGGGAGGAGACTACTTTGAAGGGGACCCTGACAAATAAATTGTAAGTGAAGTATATTTTTTGTAATAAACAAAGTTCAAGAACTTTTTGAACAATCCTTGTATATATTCTAAAAACACAAAGTTCTTAAAAATTATTTTGTAAAAAGCTATTCCCATCACCTGAGCTGCTATAATGTGTTTTCTGAATATTTCTCATTTTAATTCTGTTGATATTATCCATATATTTAAATTGAAATTTTATGCTATTTTTGGTAAGATTCTAGCTCTGAAAGAGAGGAAAGAACCCCCTAAATTGTAGACCCCATTGTGCAATGGAAAAAACAAATATTTTGGTATATGACATACGGATAGTTGCATGGGCTAGATACTTAAAAGTGAGTCTTAGCAGAGGAACACTTGCAATCTCACACGATCCAATTTTGGGAGAGCTCTATCTCATAAAGATCGCCCGTAGGGTATGGTTCATTAGACTTTTTTTGATCGCACAGGGGAGGTCTACAATTTGGGGTTTATTCCCCCCATTCGGAGCTAGAATCTTATCAAAAATAACAAAATTTCAATTTAAATATATGGATAATATCAACAGAATTAAAGTGAGAAAGACTTCAGAAAACACGTTGTAGCAGCTCAGGTGATGGGAGTACTTTTTTACAAGATAATTCTTAAGGTCTTTGTGTTTTTAGAATATACTGTATATGTAAAGAAGGGATCTGTACTTTATCGATAAAAAATAATAAAATCTCTAGATCATTTTAAGGGAAAAATGTGAGTAGCCTTAAAATATAAATTAGTAATAAATAAATGAGTTTAATCACCTCTAGAGTAATTAATAAAATAATTTCATATTTTACTTTGAGGTATATAAGCATTTTAATGATTAGTAAAATACTTACGTCGGGGAGCGACTTCCCACAACTTAGATTATAAATTTTAATATTATTTGGATTAGAAACTTGCATTATTTACGATTTTCACGTGTTCAATTCATAACACTGTCAGCAGCCATTACAAAACGTGACGTAATGATTCGTATACGCTCCCTATCGGATAAAACTGTAAACTAAATATTTTAATTATATTAAAAAATTTTAAATTAAATTTATGTTTAAATTTAATTAAATATTGCTTATATAATTATATGAAATATATTTTATGATTTAGTTTAAAAAATCAATTTATAAAAATTTTTATTTTTTATCCGTAGAATATGGGGTGAATATACTTTTCGTTTCAGATGGATCGATCTGTAAGATCAGATCATCTTTGTCACGTGAGACAGATAGCTTCTGTCGCGTTTTAGTTGGCAAGTATACAAGTAGAATCTAATAATTACTCAGTGAATGAAATTGCTCACAAAACGGCAAAATGGGAGAGTGCACGCCATGCATTCTTGCCGTACAATCTCGCAAAATTTTTTTTACTTCAATTTATCGGATATTTTAATAATGATGTTTTTACTTATCATTTATAAGTTTTAAATATTTTTATATTTTGGTAGTTAAACATATTTCTTTTCTCTCAACTATAAGCTTGACTTTAACCATGGAGGCTGCCATCTTTAATCCTTTTTTACCCGATCTAAACGATCCTACCCTCCACTCAGATTACTTTGATCGCGATACAGTTTATCCTAAATGGCGTTTGTATAAGTGGATAGCGATTGATCAAATCTCTATAGTTTGTTTATATACACGGTTTGAACGATCGGTGTAATCTTGGATCAATTTGATTACAAAAGTATATGCACCCATAGTTCACGAAAGAGATTCAGAGACGGGAAATAGAAATGGACTCTATCAATAAAAATGCTGTTATTATTGTCTGTTTTACTCTTTCCACTCTGCGAATACTAAGAGGGTCTTTTATTATGCCCATAAACGATTCGACTGAGTTTTAAAATTTTTTTAAATTCTTTCTACCCTGTGGGCACTAAGAGGACCTCTTTTAGCAAGCCCGACATATTCGATTGGATCATTCCCGAAAAATTCCTGGAGATTTTTTTGTTCCGTTTGGATTGATCCTTGATCCCCCAGAGCGTAGCCTGTTACCTTGACCGCTCGGCCATCCGGCTGTCCGATTCGATTGGATAGTGACGGATGGAGACCAACATATCGAGATTGTTCGTCAATAAAAAAAATCCTGGGTGTTGTCTTCCGGATTCGAACTTTGGCCTAAGGAACTCAGAGCGTCTTGTGTAAATATATAAAACCTAGTTCCCAGTTATATGACAAAAGTCGCTTCCGACGCCATGTCGCTCACCAGTGACCAAGTAGATAAAACCGGGGATGGGAAATCAGAGGAAAAATACATGATTCTTGACTCACAACTTCCGAGTCGGTATTTTTTAAAATCGACTTTGACTCCCGACTCCCATAAAAAGATTTGACTCCTCGATTCTCGACTCCCGACCTAAACTCCGATTCTCCATCCCTGGATAAAACTATTGAACACTGGTAGTTGGTCGTGAGTTCGAGCCTCGCCAACGGACTGGCCATTCGGAGTTTTCCGGATTTTCTTCACGTCAATAACGCCCAAATAAGGGCCAATTTCCCATAAAAGATTTCTTGGGCGGCATTTTTCCTCGGTAGATGACCCATGTGTCCCGTTACCCTAATCGAATAAAAGCAACGATCGTATAAGTAGCGGTGCACTCAGGATTTAATCTTAGGAAAGCCGAGTTAAACGGATAAAAACTTTTTAATGTGAATTCAATAAAATTCGCATATTATGTGATTGCTAATTCATAAATATTATAGAAATAGAAGACACGCCATAATATAAAAAAGAATCATTAATTAGAAAAAGGTTTTTGGAAAACTTTTTAGCGTTTCCTTTTTCTTTGGAAGGTGCCAGGGCTCCATGACACCACCTGGGTGAGTCAATGTATACAAGACACTCGTGCTGTTATACTCGAGAACCTAGTGGTGCAGAAGATACTACTCAATGTGGTTTCCATTTTGAAAATGTAAAACCTGAAGGCAATTAACAATGTGTTCAATGTAATCGATCCTCTTTGATCACATTTAGTGTCATACTGTCTTTCAGGGTGCCATCTTAGTAACATGCCTTTTATTAACTACATGTTTTAAGTGTCCCTACAACCAAAAATTACACGAATTCAGATACAGAAAACATGGCTATAAAATACGATATGTAGAAATGCTCTATTTTGCACGAAAGTGATTGATTCAATACGTTGCTGTTTCAAGTATTGAAACAAAAGTGTTGAACATCTCTTGATGTCTCTAGCATGTTACAGATCCATTGGAATTAGCTACTTAGAAGAATAATGGTGTAAGAATAAAGTATAATGTAGCTATGAATCCATATCAGACTGTAACTTTAGGCGAGTTCCACTGAAGTGAAGATGCACTGTACCTCGTCTCTACAGTATCTACTATGACCATGACATATTTTGTTTGTGGCATGAAAGGTCATTGCAAAAGTGATGCGCATTTTCCTATTGGCGGCAAGCAACTACTGGTGGTGACTGGTTTTATACGGGCAACAACCTTTCACACTGCGCCGTAGTATACACCTGCGCTATCGGACCCTGTAACAATATTCATTAATGTTCATCCACAGCTGTTGTAATGTTTTCAATGATTTATGGATGATAGAAACGAATGATAGATTTGCATCCTCCGTCGGGTTGTACTCCCACAAATCCAGTTTTCTCGAATTGAGTGATCATTTTCATGAGCAGCAACGGCATCAATATTTTTATCAGTGCCATCAACAGTATCAATATTTGCATCAGTAGTATCTACAGCACTAACAATGCTGCTGATTCTACAGATTTGTATCCGTAGAATCAGCAACAGTTCATCAATAGTATCAGAAAATCAGCATCAGTGGCATTGTCATCATTAGCATCAGCATCATCATATTCAACCTTTCCTCTTTAATATTCATCATTATTTTCTTCATTTTTATATATTTCAGCCGATTAGCAGCTCATTAATCGTAACGTTAATTGCAAAGTACAGTATATCATTAACAGTGAATTTTTAACTTTAATTATTTAACATATTAACGTATCTGATATCCATTTATCTTACTTTCTTCTTATCACATTTATTTAACGTTATTTACAGAAATGTAAGGTTAATTGAAGCTGAAAATTTAATTTCTTCTCTAAAGAAAACCGAAAACAATATACAATATATATGAAGATGAAGATTAAAAAAATGTAAAAACAATGTATGGAAAAGATAAATATTAAACTTATCAGCTCATAAGTAGGAAAGCAAGACAATTTTTCTTCAGCATTTTCCTACATAATCTGTATAATATTTATAAAAATTTATTAATGCATGTTAAAATAACATATACATAATTTATATTATGTTTTATAAAGTTTACTATTTAATTTATTTCTTTAATAACTTATTAAGACATATATAAACTTTCCTGTTTCTAGAATTCATATGTAATTATCTAAGTAAGAATCCTATTTTCAATGCATCACATGGAAAAGATATTTGCACACATCTCTCATTTTCTTTGGAAGAGATTGAAAATTCTATCCTTGATCTTTCCATTTCCTTTCTTCACCATATTTATTACTTTCTAACCTTTACTTTCTGTTATCTTTCTAACAAATCGACACACTTCTCTATTCTTTTCTCTTATATTTTACACTGCAATTTAACATTCTTCATTCTTCATGTGTCTTTCTCAAAGATTCCTGTCTGTAGTTTAATCTTTCTTCTATTTTTATACATTTTTTTTTTTAAAAGTTTTATCTGTAAATATTCTGTACAAACTTTAAAATTACGTGTGTTAAGTGGAGGGTTGAGTAAAGTATAAGCGTTTACTAATAGGATCATCAGGAGAGTTGGGTGGTTAGAATAGTGCTGAAATAAATAAGTAATTTAATTAAATTTACGTAATTAAAGGTTAAGTTAATTGCATTAGGGTAAGTAAATTATATTGTTATAAGTGAAAACTGTGCTTTAATGGTAAGCAATTGGGGTTAATAGTCTTATTATGTTAACGTATGGATGGAATGAACAGTAAAGGATTTTTATACAGAATAATTAATCAAATACGCAATTAAAGCAACAAGTAAGAAAGGTTAAATAGTTATTTTATAATAGAAAACAATGTTTTATGATTTGTTATAGAAAGGTGTGATTATATTAATGGAGAAAGGTAAGGAGTAGATCCCTCGAGCTGAGAATAACAAATAAACTGCTAGGTTAAATTTACTTTAAATGAAGTAAAATCGAATTATTTTGCAGCGTATAAGCAATAAATAAATTAAAAATAATGAAAATAAACAAAGTAATTATTCAATAACGTTGCATTATAGAGATACTTGTACAGAAAACCATGTAAGCAATAGAAAATAATGATTTCTGCAAGAAAAATTTGATTAAAAATAACAAATTACGATTATTTTCTTAAATTTTAATAAGTTTTACACAATTTAAACTCGCTAATAAACTGAGAAATGATTTAAAATTAAAGAGAAAACATCTTTTGTTTGGAAGATTATCTTCCAGTACACGACTAATGACAAAGTTTTAGTAAATTTAAATAAATTTTATTCTAAGACTTAGTTAATCCTTTTACACCTTCCGATCGATGTAGTGTCGAAATGTCAGTTAATCCCACCTTCAAACCGAAACAATTGGAAGATAAATCTTATCAACAGCGAATCTAGAAACTTTATTCTTGTTTATTTTGGTAAGAGATTATTAAATAGAACTTGGATGAAACGAGATTTTATTTGTAATGGATGAAATAAATTAATTCCCGTAAAATCTGTACGAATTTTGTTAAGACGTACTTAAAATTCAGATATTTGCAACAGTTTTTAATCAGAGAAATGTAGAAAAGTAGAGATTCTTATCATCTTTCGCCTCCTATTCTTACTCTTCCTTTTTCTACATCCCCGCCTTCTTCTCCTTCTACTTCTTTTCCTCCTTCTCATCATCAATTCAAGCTCAACATTTAATTAACATTGAAATTATGAAGATCATAAAATAATAATATCATCATCTTAATTACATCACTGTAAAT